CGATGTGCTGTTAAGTTCGTAAGAAATAAACGCATGATGTGAATCTAATTCACTGTATGAATCCAGAATTCAGTTATGCTGACGTGTTGTTTTTTACCATAAAAATCGTAACTTTTTGTCCTGTTAAAAATGAAATCTTATCATAGGTTTAAAATTTATAGCTTGTTTTTTACCATAAGGTTCTTATTCCTTTTGTTGTTTTATTTTTGCCCAGATTTGCTATTGTTGATAACGAGTTCAGTCCACTTGAATCGGTTCATTCATGAATCTAGATTCACTCCAATGAAGACGCCTTATAAATCTAGATTTCAATTGGAGTCTGATCCAAGATTCACCTCCAGCGAAAGCTTGGATGGTGTAGGCATTGATTTTAATGAATTGTTGTTGGTGTTCTCTCATTGCGAAGATGGAAGATCAAAAATCTTGAATAGCGAAGATGGAAAGTTGCAGTTACAGAGAGCAGTATTAAATAATGACGTGTTTATAAAGGACGTTCGTATGTAAAGAGTCAGTATTTAAGCGACGCTGCTTGGATTAATGTAGTGAATTGCTTCCAATTAATGCTAGTGAATTGTTTCAATGCTTGCCACACCATTAATGTATGAATTTTCCATTTTAACCCTTTTTACATCTGCATGTGCTATTAAATGTGTCTATATTAACATTCTACACATCGAAAATGTAGGCCATTGGATTAGATTGCATGGAGAGGGTTAGGATTGGTTTTTAGTTCTCTAGCGTTTTTATTAGCACATTCTCTCCTTTCTAATATATATAATATATAATATATATATACTATATATATATACTATATATATATATAATATATATATATGGGGGGAAACTGACCCTGAGCATCGAGCCGCTGGAATTCCTGCGCTGTCCAACACGTGGCCGTCAGATTGGTGTGGAAGAGAAGACAGCGGCAAGCTCTTATTGCGAACTTGAGCGATTTTTTTGCAACATTCCATCTTCTTTCCCTTTTCGTTTTCTCCAGCGCTTGAGCTCACATTTCTTCCAAATTTTTTTTCGCCAGCGCGCTCCTCCCTCCTCCAAGCGTGGCTTTTCTTCGTGGATCTTCCTCCAAGGTGCTCTGCCATCTCCTCTCCTCTAGGCGCGCCCAACTCGAGCAAGACCGCGGATCGGCGCCCAGGCCACGTCTCGAGCGCTGGGACCAGAACCGCGCGCGCCCTCCTCCTCCAGACGCTTCCCCAGCTCGAGCGCAGGAACCGGATCTCTCCTCCAGGCACTCCCCCAGCTCGAGCGCAGGAACCAGATCTCGCCGCCTCCCTAGCCGGCGCAGGAACCAGTGAAGTTTCTCAATTTTGTTTGTTTGCAATGTTTTTTTTTAATTTCATTTTGGGGATAATATCTCAATTTTGGGGTTAAAACCTGTATCAAAAGTTAATATATGGTGAAATTCCCAAATTTGTTTTTAGCAATTTGGTAAAATTTAACTGATGCTAAAATTTAGTGAGTGATTAGGATTTAGTTTCTTCATGCTTTTATTCTATGAGTGATTAGGATTTTGTTTTTAGCAATTTGCAAGGTTTCTTCATGCTAAAATTATCTGACAGCAATCAAACATCTCCAGGCGCTCCCCCACCTCTGCTCGAACCAGATCCACAATTTCTGCGCTCCCCCATCTCTCGCGGCCCACCGGCGAAATCGTGCCCTCCTCAGTCGTGCTCTCCTCTTTTGAAGGTACATTGAGTAACATTTATCTTTATATAATTTTGAACAATTAGTAACATTGAGTAACATTATATATTTTTGAACAATTATCTTTATTTCAGAATGGAGGAGATAAGTAGCACGAAGTTTAATGATGATAATACATTTGAATGTAGAAATGCTAGTCTTGTTTGTCCACCAACCTAAAAGAAAAATTCTCTGAAGTCCACCAACCTAAAAGAAAAATTTAACAAATACAATATCAGATTTGAAACTATTGCATTACTATAATATAATCAAAGGTAAAATGAAGTTTCATCACCAATTCTTAAAAAGTGCATCTCTATAAACTTTGTTCGTTAGTCTTGTTTGTCAGTTTCGCTGCATAAAATATCAAAGCTAAAATTAATAATATGATTTAAGTAATAAAATATCTTAACTTGTCAACGTAATTAAACATACCTGGGCTTGTTAACTGTACAGCTAGTCCTATAATGCCCAAGTTGTCCACATCTACTACATGTACGCTTTTGCCTCTCTTTCTTTTCTTGTGCTTGTTCTAAAGTTGATTTAATTCTTGTAGCATTGCGTGGACGACCTTTGGTTCTTGCTTGCTTTTCCGGGTCACGAATTGTAATTTGTGGAATATGTTGAATTGTATGTGCAATAGGTATCTGTGGAAGATCCGAGTCCGGAATGTGGCTGCTACCAGCATCTATTGCTTGACACCCTCTGGCTTCTTCTTCAACACTCTCTATGAAACTTGTTAACAAAGAATCAAGCTCATGCATTCTCTTATCTGACTCAAAGGCAAGCTCCAGTGCATTGTTGGTTTTTGCTTTCAAAGCCCAAGTTTTCAACAGATTTATTTTTTCTACACCGCCTGCAATGTTTTTGCCAAACACAACATTACTAACTTCAATGTTACGATGTCGAGCATCTATAGTCCAACGGTGTACAATATATAAACTGGGCAATGAACAACGTTGTCTGTTGAACATTAGAGTGTACAATATATGTTTGCATAAAACACCATTATTCTCAAACATACCACAACTGCAACTATACTGTAATTCTCTACATTCATCATAAGTAACAAACCTCCACTTTTCATTGCTTTCATCTAAGGCACCAACTTGCCATAAAACAGACTTTTCTTCTTTGGTCACCTCTTGAATGCCAAGAACACCACACCCTTTGATCTCATTCTAAAATACATGAAACATAGTGCGGGTATAACAACTTCCAGCTTGTCTTTCAATTGGATGACCAAGGTGAAACTGCGGTTTTGTATTAAGAGTTCTAAAATCTTCATGTGTTTCACTCAATCGTCGATGTATCACAGCCTTTTCATATTGAGTTACAAATTCTTTTAACTGTGTTTGTGAATTCACATATCCATCAAAGAATGAGTTGATGCTTTCACTCCTTTGGGTTGATCTCATTCCTGCAAAAAAAATACCTTTTAAGAAGCATGACACCCAATGGTCTTGATACATGTACATAGTTTGCAGCCATCCATCTTCTTCTTCTATTATCTTAAACTTCTCCTTCATCTCGAGCCAATTCAAATGAAAGTTCTCAATGTTACCACTATTACACAACAAGTCCCAATATTTTTGAAATTCTTCACCATAAACAGAATTCAAAGTATGCAAATGATCGGCAATATGTCGCTGCAGATGCCAATAACAATAACGATGCCTTGTGTTTGGAAAGACTTTATGAATAGCATTACACATTGCTCGGTCTTGGTCTGTGATGATAGCACCTGGTTCAATTCCATGCATGCAGTTTAACCATTCCTGAAACAACCAAACAAATGTTTCTTCTTGTTCATCAGCTAGCAATGCGCAACCAAATAAAGTAGATTGCCTATGATGATTCACCACAGTAAATGGTGCAAATGGAAGACTAAACTTATTGGTTTTATAAGTCACATCAAACACAATAACATCATTAAACTTCAAATAATTTGCTCTTGATTTTCCATCTGCCCAAAAAACACTTCTCATTTGTCCAGTACAATCTACTTCCAGTGCAAAATAAAAATCTGCATCATTAGCCGCCTTTCTTTGAAAATATTGGATAACAGATAAACATTCATTACCAATATTATTGTGCCTTTGAGTTTTCATATAGTCAATGCACTGTTGTGGTGTCACTGATTCATCTTCTCTTCCACTTGTAGCGTTAATAACACGAGAAATAGTGGAAGGAGTAATACCTTCTTCTTGCAAACATTGAATCATATTTTGACACCTTTTACTTCTATGAAATTGTTGATGTGACCTATGCATCTTTGCTTTATCTGGACTACTGAGCATGTGGTTTGTATGATCTTCAGTAAAACCTATAACTTTCCATGTTTTATCCTCCATTAATTTTATTCTCATCATTGCTTTACAGCCAACTCTAGTCTCTCGCCGATGATTAATATTTTTTCCTAAATCTCTCTTGTCTTTATTAGATCTGTAACCTTCTTTGTCACAAACAAATTTTCTATTAAACACTTCTTTATCTTTCTGAGAGTAATTCACTGAGCTTTTTCTGATTCCAAATCCCATCATCAATGCATACGAGTTATAATAGTCATAGGCCTCCTCATGACTATTAAACTTCATTCCTAAACACGGTTTTTCACCAATTTGCATTTGACTAGCATTTCTACATTCAAATGTATTATCATCATTAAACTTCGTGCTACTTATCTCCTCCATTCTGAAATAAAGATAATTGTTCAAAAATATATAATGTTACTCAATGTTACTAATTGTTCAAAATTATATAAAGATAAATGTTACTCAATGTACCTTCAAAAGAGGAGAGCACGACTGAGGAGGGCACGATTTCGCCGGTGGGCCGCGAGAGATGGGGGAGCGCAGAAATTGCGGATCTGGTTCGAACAGAGGTGGGGGAGCGCCTGGAGATGTTTTGATTGCTGTCAGATAATTTTAGCATGAAGAAACCTTGCAAATTGCTAAAAACAAAATCCTAATCACTCATAGAATAAAAGCATGAAGAAACTAAATCCTAATCACTCACTAAATTTTAGCATCAGTTAAATTTTACCAAATTGCTAAAAACAAATTTGGGAATTTCACCATATATTAACTTTTGATACATGTTTTAACCCTAAAATTGAGATATTATCCCCAAAATGAAATTAAAAAAAAACCTTGCAAACAAACAAAATTGAGAAACTTCACTGGTTCCTGCGCCGGCTAGGGAGGCGGCGAAATCTGGTTCCTGCGCTCGAGCTGGGGGAGCGCCTGGAGGAGAGATCCGGTTCCTGCGCTCGAGCTGGGGGAGCGCCTGGAGGAGGA